GGGCGGATGGTGTAGAGCTCGCCCTGCGCCGCCGCCACCTCCTCCGCGTAGCGCTGCCACGGCACCGTGGATTTGCGCGGCAGCGACACCGACGAGCGCAGCTTCCCGCGACCCTACGGCATCGGCGACACCTGTTAACACCGATGTCTTCCTCGGAGCACCGGCCCCGACGTGAGGTGGCTGCTGTAGCTTACCGGGACGTCACGGGGGACGAGGGACTCCAGGTTCTCCTCGACTGGTGGCTCCGCCACGTGCTCGGTGCTGCCCTGCTTGCGCAGGCGCCGGGCGGCTTTGCTCTGTGCCGGCACGCTCTGGGTGCGTTGGACGTTGCGGCGATCCCGGCTGGGTGGTGGTGATGGTACCAGTGCCGGTGATGGTTCCGGTTCCGGCCCGTCCTCCCGGCCCCGCGCGCGGCGGATGCTGATGAGGGACTGGCTCTTGATGAGGGGACTGTGCTTGCTCAGTTCCCGGGGTGGCACGAAGCCTGGTTTGAAGCTCTCTGCCGAGCTGTGAGGGGAGATGGGGTGGTGGCATGGCTGGATACTGGGGTTGTGCAGGACCCAGGAGGGACCAGAACCATCCTGAACCCAGCTGGGACTAGAGACACCCCTAAACCAGTTGGGATCAGACCAGTCTCCTGACCCCAGCCTGGACCTGAAGCACTCCAAAACCAGCTGGGACCAGAAACACACCCCAAACCCAGCCGGGACCAGAACTGGAACCATCCTTAAAACCAGCCTTGACCTGAAGAACCACAAAACCAGCCAGAACCAGTCACCCCAAACCCAGCTGGGACCAGAAACACCTCCTGGACCCAGCCTGGACCAGAAGTATCCACCAAATCCAGTCCAGACCAGAACCATCCCCCCAGCTGGGACCAGAACCACCCCCTAACATGGCCACAACCATCTGCTGGACCCATCAGGGACCAAAACCATCCCCTGAACCCAAGTGGGACCAGAACCACCCCAAACCCATCCTAGTGTCTCCCCTCTACCAAAGCTCCACCTTGGTCCCATGGGTCCCTCTGTCCACCCACCGGTACCTTCGCTCCGTGGTGGAGCTGAGACGGACGGAAACAGGAACAGGGGTCCCCTCCTTGATGGCGGTGAGGATGGTGGGCAGGGGCTCCAGCTCCTCCTGCGTGGCCTACCGGGACAAGACAAGGACATTATGGGGACAGTAGGGTGGCCTTGGGGTAGGTGCCGTCCATGGGGCTGTGGACACCAGCTCTGTGTGTGGGGAGGAGGAGGTGGCCAGTCTTGGCAGCCACCCTCAGGGACAAATAGGTGGTGGCACCTGGTCCAGGCTGGAGAAGATGTCGCAGAGCAGGAGGTGGAGAGTGGCGAGCTCCAGAGCCAGGTCCATGTAGCCGTCGTAGGTGGCCATGTGGATGCTGCTCTCGGGGTTGGCCACGCTCTGCAGGAAGTCTGTCATGGTGCTCCAGTTGTTCTCCAAGAACTCATTCATGAAGCCCATGTAGGCCTCCTTCTCGCCAAACCTGGTGGCCACAATGTCCGGTTACCTGGGGACCAGGCGATGGCCTGGGCCACCACCATGGTCACAAGCCACCATCATGATCATGGGCCAAGCCACCTCCAGGGTCACGGACCAAGTCACTGCGATGTCCCTGCACCATGTCACCACCCTGCCTACAAGGCAGGACATGGGTGGGCACACCGCCATGTTCTTGGATGAAGCCACCACAGGTTACACATGAGGGGGGGACCAGGCTGGGGGGACACGTGGAGTGGAGACGTTTCTCTGCTGCCACACAACTGGTTTGTGACATGTAGGAGATGTCCCTGCTGCCCCACAGTGTTTAAGGGACATCCCTGCAGCTCCGTGGTGTGTTGGGGACAACCCTACTACCTCATGGTGTGTTGGGGACAACCCGTGACTGTCCACGGCCTGTGCCACACGTACGTGGTGAAGTTGGCCAGGTTCTGGATGACCTTGGCCACGAGGGTGAGGGTACGGGCGGTCGCCTCATTGGGGTACTCCTGGACGAGGCCGAAGAGGCTGGGGGACATGACGGCGGGGCAGAGGAACCGTAGGAAGAGGGAGGCTGAGACCAGGCGCTGCCCGATGGGCGCCTTGCCCCGCGCCGCGCACTCCTCCTGCCACGCCGCGAAGATCTCGCCCAGCTCTGCCGGGAAGGCGCTGTGGGGAGAGGAGACACCCTGCTGGGTGCTGGGCCGGGTGGGGGGCCCTGGAGCCACCCCAGCCAGCCACTGTGGTGTGCTGGGGGACACGGTGCCCACCATGACTGTGCCGGTCCCTGTGCTTGTCCCCAGGGTTGTCCCCAGGTCCTTCCTGCTGCCTGTCCCCATGTCCATCCTGGGCATGATGCCTGTCCCTGTCCTCCATTCCTGTCCCCAGGGTTGTCCCCAGGTCCTTCCTGCTGCCTGTCCCCGTGTCCATCCTGGGCATGATGCCTGTCCCTGTCCTCCATCCCTGTCCCCAGGGTTGTCCCCAGGTCCTTCCTGCTGCCCATCCCAGGGATGGTGCCAATCCCCAAGCCCCACCTCCACGCCCACCCTGGTGCCAGCTCCTGTCCTCCTGCCCATTCCCTTTCCTGTCCCCAGCCCCATCCCTGTCCCCACGCCCATCTCCACGCCTGTCCCCAGGTCTCCGTGGTGCTGGTGCCCACCCCCGTGGCCAGCCCCACGCCCACGCAGGGGCTGTCCCTCACTCGCAGGACGCGGCGATGCATTGGAAGGTCTCCTCGCAGACCTGCCGCAGGTTGTTCTGGTTGTCGGAGAGGTCAAGGCCGGCGCATTTGCTGGGATCCACCTCGCAGCTGTCGTCCGAGGCGCAGAGCTGGGCCACGGCCTCTCCTGGCCACCAAGAGACAACCCATAAAGGGACCAACCAGCCACCACCACGGGCACGGCTGGGAGACAAGCCTCCACCCATGGGATGTTCTGGGGGTGTCCTACAGCCCTGTCATGCTCTGCACCCCACAACACCCTGTAATGACAATCCCAGGATGTTCTGCACCCCGTTAACACCCCGTGATGTCCCACAAAGACTTGTAATGTGCAGCCGTACCCAGTGTGTCCTGGAGGTACTTGCCCCCCACCAGTTTCATGTACTCGTCGATGGCCTTGGTGGCCAGCGTGTTCTCACGGAAGATCAGTGCCTCACGGTCATCAAAGCGGTCCAGCTCGGCCACCC